AGGTCAGACCAGATGATCATAATGGTCCCTTCTGACCTTAAAGTCTATGAGTCTATATACTAAGTGAATATCCTTAAATCAAACTAAGTTCTCAAGTAGCACTCTCTTCTTTGCCCGTCTAAAATTTTTGTTGATGGAACTGTTTGGCTTGTGCACAATGAAGTCAACATTTACTGACATTTACCAATAAAAATCTAATCCAGGCTTAATAGAAGTTTCCTATGGCTGATGGCAGCAGTGGGTTTTATGGGATTGGAAGGAGTGGGTCTGGTAGCAATCTCATTTTTGAACATGGCTTCCTCTCTGATCCCCACTAGCATGGTATCCATGTTTCTGAATATTCTTGCATCTCTTAAAGCTTAAGTGCAACCATACTAGCCCCACCCTGAAGCTGTAATGTCACTTAATTTTAAGATCCAGATCACTTATATAGTCTTAAAATCCTCCATGGATTTGATTAGACCTTATAGTGATGGGACGGGATGCCCTACATAACACACATCACACTCCCTGTATATACTCCATTTTTTAATTTATTTTTTAGCACTGGTTGCTTCTGTTCAATTAGTAGTCTCTAGGGCAGTGGTCACCGACTGCTCGATCCTGGAGACATAACCCTTGAAACAGGTCCACCTGCCCTCCTCTGTCTGCGAATAATGGAATGTCTTCTCTCCTAAGACTTGCTCAAAGACTCGTTGCTCCTGCCCCCAGAAGAAAAGACACATTGACCTCAAGAGAACCCACCGCCAAGAGCTGTGTGGTCGCTGTAAAGGCAAGAGATTATTCTGTGACAACACTTACAGCTTTAAGTACATTGTTTGATCTGTGGCCTGTCTTAACTTGTACCCTTTTGTTTTTAGCACTTTGTCAGTCTTTGTGACTGGGCTCTGATTTTAGGCTTTTGACCTGGTATTGGATACTGGAGGAATTGCAAGATGCTTTGTAACTTTACAGTATACTGTGACAAACGCAGACCAGTGGGGTACAGGAGTCTGGTAGAGGGCAAATATCTGGTCACTGGATGAGTAGTTTTCTGTTCCCTG